TAAAAAAATCCAGGGGGGTGGAGCTGAACTCCAGTGCCAGACCAAATTGTACTGTGTTCCTGACCCATGCGTCAGTGGTAGATGAGTCCCATTGGTCGGCAAACCTTTTTAGGCGAACACCAATGGGAATCTCGTGATCATTACTTGGACCTGCGGAAGGGCCTAGATCCTGTTCCTCGAAATTGTCTCCTAGGATGGAGTCCCCTTCTATATCTGTCCCCAGGTTCAATTCTATCTGTCTGTTGACTGAATCCAGGCTGTCTTTGAAATCTTGGATAGTAGGGTTGGTAGAAGGGGCGAAAGGAACCCCTACGAAAGGGCTGTGGTGATCTGGACTCTGATCGACGAAAAAGAGAGGGAAGAATTTTCTTTTTGGTTCTGGTTTCAATTAGGAGGGGTTCAAGCGCACTGCCAAATAGTTTGTTCTCCGAGATGGGAGCTAGGACAAGCCGCCACTTGTGCTTGACATCTGCCTGCCAATGCCTGAGCCAAAGTAACCTTCTAGCCGCAATTTGGGAAGCGATGGCCCTAGAGGAAAATTTAACTACATCGAAGGTAGCGTCTGCTGAAAACTCTGCAGCGGCGATTAATTTAGCCACATCTTGATGTGCCCTAATGTTTGAGGCTGGAATGGTATCCCTCCAGTGGCCGAGCCATCTGAGAGATGATCTGGTGAAAAAGGAGGCGGCTGTGGCCGCTCTGATGGCCCATGCATCCGAGACGTGTGCCCTGCGGAGGGCTAGTTCCACCCTCTTTTCCTCAGGCTTGAGAGCCTCTTCAGCTTCACTTGGGATGGCTGAGGAAGATGCAAGGGCAATGATAGGCTCGTCCACTTCCAGAGTGTTTAGAAATTTAAAGAACTCGGGTGCCAAATTATAGTATTTTTTATCATGTCCTGTGGGAGCGGGATATGAGGCTGCTGCAACCCATTGTTTTTGTACTAAATTGGAAAACATGTGAGCCACAGGGATAACCTCTGCCTCAGTGACTGGTTGAGAGAATATGAGATCCTCTGCTTCCCCTGGAGTATTTGGTGGGGGAGGGGTACCTGTATTATCCAGCCGTGCGGTGTTCTTGGCCTTAAACAGCAGGGATTTAAATAATTGTGGGCGGAAAAATCCTGTAAATACGGGGAGGTCAGGTGAAAGGCCTTCATTGTCAGACATCTCCCTTTCTAGCGGATCCACCTCTGACAATACCTGGTCAACGGTGTGTACCGACCCCTCCTCCATTTGATCCACTGGATCCCTTTGATCTCCCATATCCTATGTGTACTGAGGGTCTCTAACAGTGGGCAACGATAGTTCTGGGGAGGGGGGTACCTGATGAAGATCTGGATCCGTGATGCCCAGAGATCATTCAGAAAGAGATCCGCAAACCGAAGCTGAAGGTGTTCGTCCTGCCTGAATAGCCTGTTGGATGCCTGCTGATATGCCCTTCTGGATAGCTAGCTCCAGCCACACCCACATGTTGGCAGGGATTTCCTCTGGAAGTTCCTCCTCTTGTCTGAGGCCAGCTGCAGTTGGCGTAAATGTTGCCTCTGGGGCCCTCCTTGGGGAGAGAATGTTAGAAAGAGCCTCCTGGGGAGGTTGTATCGATATGCTGCTCCTTCTGGATAAATCCAGAGGGGTGGTTGGAGGGTTCTGGGCCTGTGAGGTAGAAGGTATGATGAGTGGTGAAGAGGTGGGTTGTGCAGCTGCTTGTGTACGTTTTTCCACCTGCCTTTCTAATGCCTGATGGAGTCTACGTACATCTTTCTCTGCTGCCTTAGAGGTCTTTTTGGGCTCCGTGGACTTATCTCTATTTTTAGCAGTTAGTCTAGATCTGGAGTTGTAGTTGCTGGCCATGGTAATGTATTTGATAGCAATGGAAAGAGGCTATGAAATTAGGTGACTGGAACACCTAGGGGCCTGCTCCCTTAAGGGGCAGGGGATCCTGGCCCAGGGGGGTGGTTGGTGACAGAAACTATGGTATTACCTGACCTGAGAAATAAATCAGCTAAATCAGCTAAATCGCCAGTGTTCTGTTCCGACCAGGAAAACAATAATACAACCTGTCTGAAGAAAGGCTGAGCTGGGGACGCTAAGGAGGAGTCTCGTGGAGGAGAAGGAGTGTCCTCAAGTTTAAGCCCAGACTTCCTAGAAGGGACTGAAGCACCTTCCCATCACTGGATGCTCTGAACAGCTCATGGGAGAATGAAGCTGAAACTAATGCAAAACAATATCAGTGTATCCAGACCTGCACAGAGGGGACATATGAACAAGTGAGCAGAAGAGGGAAGGAAGAGAAGACATGGTTAAAAACATTTCTCTTTCCAGACTTCAAGCAGAATGGCAAGACCGCCACCATACCTGCTGGGTGATGGTTTGCAGCATAGCCCTGCAGAGGATGGGGAGCAGCATATGCTTGGCGGTGTAAAATATCTGTTTCTGGATGCGAGCTTCGGGATCCACCATACACCAAGCTGAATGAGAGAGAAACAAGGCTTCAAACATGGTAAGATAGCTGAGATATTTTAATATATGCCACATTCAATATCCCAATTGAATACACCAGAAGAGTTCCTTCAAAGATCATCAAGAGCAGGCTTGTTTTCCTGCTATTCTGATCTGTGAACAGAACCAAGAGCAGGGGAACAAAGAGGCAATCATTTGAGAAGCATTGACTTTGAGTGCAAAGGAGTATCTAGTACTTGTCTACTTCTGAAGTTCAGAACTTCTGTTCATCTATGTCCTCTCGAGACCTTGGGTAATTGTAAGCATCACTCCATAAGCATAAAATGGGCTTAACAATTCCGTTCATTTTCAAGATGAACAAAATCATGACTTTGACCGAGACAGACTGCAAGCTTTGAAGCGTATTATGGAATTAAATCAGAAGCACACAAACTTATGGAGCAACTTTCTTTCCCTGTTTTTGATGCTCAGAGGGATAACCTGCCTTGGACAGACTTCTCTGCTCAATCCAAGAGGAAGCCACATATGCAGGAAAGTAAACTGGAATGTATAATCACCAATGATGCATGATGGGAAACATGGTTCCCAGGCCTTGGTTTCCCAAAACCTCAGTATCTGACCTGTATCACTCCTCCCCCTACTCCCCTTGCGCAGGAAGACCCACTTGCCTAGCCCAGCATCCAAACACAGCTGATGGAAGAATGTCCTCAAGCTTAATCTGTTTCCTTCTTGTTTTAACTGCAGTTCAATCAGCTCAGACCTGCTCTGACTATTGTACATGACCTGCCATTCTTCTTAATCCTCTACCAGTCAAATATTCCAGAGTAAACATCCCAAATATTTCCCCATTTAGTGTTATTAAAACAGACACAAACTTTAAAAAAAAGGTTTTATTGATTTTCTATTGTTTATATTTTGTTAGTACTTAATTAACATCATCTTGTCTGGGTTATTTAATTGCTTAACAATACAGATTACATTCTTAATCTCTGCCTTTTTTCCAACCATTGGTAAAATAAAGTCTATGTTTGATAATATTCTGTGTCTTCTTTTTGTTTAATCTTTAGTGTAAGTTTGTCCATTTCTGCACAATCTAGTATCTTCCTAATTATCTCTCCATCTTGCGGTGTTTCTTCATTTTTCCAATATTGTGCAAATATAATCCTCACTGCTATTAAGACATGCAATATTAAATGTATACTTTGCTTACCAAGTTTTTCTGATGTTGTACCTAATAAAGAGTTCAGATATAAAATCTACATGTTTTCCTATCATCTTTTATAACCACTTGTGTATTTTTGCCCAACTTTTTTTGCTTTAACACAAGTCCACCACATATGATAAAACTAGCTCGATACCCATGCTTCAGTGGTGGTATTCAGCCGGTTCGCACCAAATCGGGTGAACCAGTAGCAAGAATTTGGCGTGGGTCGCCGAACCAGTAGTAAGTTCTGGCTGGCCATGACCCCCACCCGGTCGCCCTCCCACCCGATGCTTGCTCACCTCGCCCGCCCGACATTCGCCTAAGGTTTTTCTTTCTTTTTTTTCCCTCCCGACAATCAGCTGTAGATACGATCAGCTGTGCCGGATTCCCCTTGCTGAGGCCCAGGAAGGCAAAAAATGGAGGGAGGAGCTCAGCCCCCCCCCTCCATTTTTTGCCTTCCAGAGCCCCAGAGGAAACTTAGGGGAGCAAAAACTCCCCCCAGAGGCTCTTCTGAGGCTAGGAAGCTCCCAAAACAGAGCTTGGAGGGGTGCTGCATGCCCCTCCCATGCTCTGTTCCTTTTCTTCCAGAGCCTTAGGGGAGCAAAAACCCCCCCCCCCCCCCAAGGCTCTTCTGAGGCTAGGAAGCTCCCAAAAATGGGTGGGAGCTGCAAAAAAAAGCCACACCCACCCAGTCACATAGCCACGCCCACAGAACCGGCAGTAAAAGTTTTTGAATCCCACCACTGCCGTGCTTCACTACAAAACTATGTGGTCGGGCTTAGTTTTGGGGGAAGAAAATAAGGAGAAAAAAAATCTGCCTCTGCCTACCAGCATACATCGGTATTCATCTGGCTAACGTCCTGTCCGTGTGTGATACAGTTGAGGGCTGTTTGGAAAATGAAACAGTATTTGCTGTGTGAGCAAGGAGACAGCAAGGAGCCTGGGTGTGGCTTATCTCAACTATTCTGTACTAAAGCTGCTTGGTGCTGTGAAACTAAAACTGAAACTGAAACTCCTCTCCTCTGCTTGTGTTTTGCATTTGGAACAGATGTCTTTTCAGGTGGGGAGGGGGAGTAGAACTCCTTAGCATTAGACCGTGTTAATAATAATATATGAAATACTAATGCTCTGATGGTCATTTCAAAAAATCCTTTCTTAGCACCTAGAAGCCAAGAGGAACATACGTGCCAAATTTCAAGTTTGTAGGCTTTATGGTTCTGGAGATTTTGTGATGATGCGTGAGTAGTATTTCGCTTTTATATATACAAATATGCCTGTTTTTTGGTTACATTTCCAACATTTGCTAGACATATTTTTAAACATTTTAGCTAACCTAGGAGGTGGTAAGTGCCATCTATAAAACATTTTATATAAATTTTCTTTATAAGAAGTTGCCATTGACAAAATTAGTTGACCAGAGGAATGCTGTTGATATAATTTACTTGGATTTCAGTAAGGCATTTGATAAAGTAGACCATAACCTACTAGATAAAGTAGAAAAATGTGGGTTAGACAGCATCACCACCAGATGGATACGTAACTGGCTGACCAACCACACTCAACGTGTAGTCCTCAATGGAACTGCATCTACATGGAGGGGAGTATGCAGTGGAGTACCCCCAGGCTCTGTTTTACTCTTCAACATCTTCATCAATGACCTGGACAAGGGGATAGATGGGGAACTCATCAAATTTGCAGATGACACCAAGCTGGCAGGAATAGCCAACGCTCCAGAAGATAGGCTTAAGATACAGAAGAACCTTGACAACCTTAAACATTCGGCGCTATCTAACAAAATGAAATTCAGTGGTGAAATAAGTAAGGTTCTACATTTAGGCAAGAAAAATCAAATGCACAGGTACAACATATGTGGTACCTTGCTCAATAGTAGTAACTGTGAGAGCGATCTCGGAGTCCTAGTGGACAACCATTTAAATATGAGCCAGCAGTATGCAGCAGCTTCCAAAAAAGCCAACACAGTTCTAGGCTGCATAAACAGAGGGATAGAATCAAGTTCATGTGAAGTGTTAATACCACTTTATAATGCCTTGGTAAGGCCACACTTGGAATACTGCATTCCGTTTTGGTCACCACAATGTAAAAAAGATGTTAAGACTCTATAAAGAGTGCAGTGAAGAGCAACAAAGATGATTAGGGGACTGGAGGCTAAAACATATGAAGAACAGTTGCAGGGACTGGGTATGTCTAGTTTAATGAAAAGAAAGACTAGGGGAGACATGATAGCAGTGTTTCAATATCTCAGGGGCTGCCACAAAGAAGAGGGAGTCAAGCTATTCTCCAAAGCACCTGAGGGCAGGACAAGAGCAATAGGTGGAAACTAATCAAGGAGAGAAGCAACTTAGAACTAAGGAGAAATTTCCTGACAGTAAGAACAATTAATCAGTGGAACAACTTGCCTCCAGAAGTTGTGAATGCTCCAACACTGGAAGTTTTTAAAAAGATGTTGGATAACCATTTGTCTGAAGTGGTGTAGGGTTTCCTGCCTAAGCAGGG